GTACCGCCTGGGTCTAAAATATCATTTACATATTTTACTTTATGCAAAAGAGTTGAAGGAGGCTTTGAACTTGCAATAGACTCGCAACCCGCGACACTTTATTCCAAGTGTGAGAAAAGAATTATATATTCACATTAATGTCTTAGAGTGCCATAGCCATGAAATGTGTACAGTACCACATTCTGAACTTGGCATGGCTCAGGTGCTGGTCTACAACCATATGTAAAAGTCCATCCCTGAGCCCCACTACTTCGAGTTCCTGGATTTGCAACTATAGTGGCCCTTAAATTCCAACAATTGTCCGGGACGACGAATTTCGTGATCTTGTGATTAATCAGCAAATTGCTTTCCCTAATTATGACACTAATTATGAAATAAGTGAGTGAGTGTACCGTACTCGCAAGAACAAGCACCCGGGTGCTTAAAATATTTTTGCACCTTTTGGGGGCGCTATTCAAATGGGGTACTTACTCAAATGAGGCGATTATGAAAACTGAGTGGGAATTAGAGGGGGCGCTTATGGAAACAGATGAAAATTTAGGGCGGAGGGGGCTTATGGGAACATGTAAATTCATGTGGCACTTTTTGAATAAAAAAAAAAGATTATAAGAAGAAACTGAAGATAAACGAATGGTTCTTGTGCAGAACAGATAATCGTCCAGAGAGCATGCCTCATGACAAGAATGCTCTGAGTATTTACCCAAAAGTAGATGAAATTAGTTGGCATCTGGCGATTGAGACTACAGGATCATTCTACGGTTTCTTGAGAACTCGGATTAAAACGTGCTAAAGGAGAAAATTGTCAGGAAAAGTAAAATAGAATTAATTCCCGGCCGAACTATTGCCAAAGAGGAAAGTTTGAAATATACTGTCCAGGGAGTCCTCATCTGTTCAGGAGAAAATATCCTCTTTTTGAAATTGACATAAGAAGAAAATGTAAATCCACTCCACAGCTCAAATCATATCAACTACAGTCCCATGATCATCAAAACTGAACACCATGTTAAACCTAATGGAGACTGACCAACCGACAGATGAGTGGACGGACAGAACGACCGAAAATGCTGAGATGCGAATAATTATGCATCGGACATAAAAACTAAGTTGGTGATGGACTGTACTATATTGTATGATTGATTTTTTGGAAAACTAATTTGAAAACCTTTTTTTTTTTTACCAAATTGCTTTAATTTAGGTTAATTGTTCACTGCGCCTCTAATGTTTTTGATTTGGCGCATTATAAATTTCTGAATATTATTATTATTATTATTATTATTATTATTATTATTATTATTATTATTATTATTATTATTATTATTTATTATTTTTATTATTAAGGGTGAAAGCTGGGTAAACCAATACTGTACAGGGACATGTAGGACATTTGGCACCCACAAGGGAAAGAAATGACATGGTCATACTCGCTCGAAAATTTTGTGGGTCAGCCCATGTGGGAAAGGTATTTGAAATCACTAATAGGTACTATGTGAGCAAAAACATTTGAGAACCTTATTCATATGGGTAAGCGCATTAGGGGCCCACAATAGAGAAAGTCGGCAGACCCATAAGGGCTATTTTTGGGTCAGCCCATGTGGGTGAAATATGGGCAATCACATGTTGGCACTATAAGGGCAAAGACACTTGGCATCTAGGACGTTTCCAGCAGGGGGAGCCATGGGAGCCGCGGCTTTCCCCCACCCCTCCCCTTTTGTACACAGTGTTAACATTTTAGAGCTTGTTCCTCTTTCCTGGGATCGCTCAAAATGAATAATTCTAAAACATGTAAATATGCATCAGTACACGTTTTACATATAGGCCTAACAGAACACATAGGCCTAAGCGTGATTTAAAAAAAACTTAAATCCATAAATCTCAGGCCAGGTCTTTTAAGATATAGAATGTGATATTGTATGGTTCAGTTTGGATTTTACCCTTTTGCAAGCTTTTGTTTTTGTTTAATAATACTACATACTACTAATGTAATAATAATAATGATGATGATGATGACGATAGTAATAATTAATAATAATATTAATAACATTAAGTGAAGAAAATTGTGCTAAATAAATTGCTAAAAAAGGTTGTGATTTGTTGAACATAATTATTATAGTATAGTTAAAGCTTAGTAAGCTATAGTTATGCCTAAGTGGTCCTAGATATAAAGAGATATAAATTTGTTGGCGTTTCATTTGGACTATATAATTGTGATGTGATGATGAACTATACATACTATATAAAATTGTTATTTCAGGAGACGTTCTATTTCCTCAAATTTTCTCACCTCAGCTCCAACCATGGTGGGACTGAGGTGGTTGTGAAATCACAGTTTTGAAGTATGTAAAGTACATAGGCCTACTC